CGAATACGCATGACCGATACTCACTCATCTCCATCCACATGGATAAGGAAAACCACCAGTTTGATTGGGACAGGCCAAGCGGAGACAAGCACGGGAATTCCTAGAGACCTGCTTCTCTACTAAGAAGGCCATCCACAAACACATTGAGCTAGACTCTATATATACTCCACTGCAAAGGAAAACCAAAAGTGAAGTAATCCAACTCAATGGACCCCAGAGTTTAAATACCAGGCGGGAAAACACAACAGCGCTTCATCGGAGGCTGCACTGACGATGTTACCCAGCAGAGTAATGAAACATTTGTGGAGCAGTGAACGAGCTCGGCGAGCCAACCAACCACAACATCCACAACCTGAGCTACAAATCTACTCAAAAAGCTTAAACATAGCTTTTTGTCTAAACGTTAGCCAGGTGTATTAATATCTTACCCAGTTTGGTGTTAAATTCGGTTTCACGATGGTCCTGTATCTTTTCGTGGGATCTTTCTCCCGAAAATAAAACGTATTATAGAAATGCAAGTTGTAGCTGTAGGGTGGAAATTAAGAGAGAAAAGAATGGAGGTTGGCTGTGATGTACGCATTCATTCGGAGAGTTGAAAGCTACTGTCTCAGCTCTCAGGAAGAATGGCATCCTGAGGGAAGTAGGGTTTAACAATGGGTCACAAATGCTGACCTTGCCAGTGATGCCCACATCCCATGAACAAACAAAGGAGAAATAGCAAATGACTGCTTGTAAACAACAGACTACCTAAACAAGACAACAGACAAAGGGGGTGACTTATTACTGAGATACCAGCAGAGAAGTAAATACATAACATAAGAAACAACTTGTAGTCCCACTGTTAAAATGAGCTCTTTGTGCTAATAAATGTCTTAGCAAATGAAGCTAGCTTGGGCTTCTTCACAACTAAAGCTACTGCTACATTTAAACTACCAGCTTTTCTGTTCTATTTTAGTATCTTGAATATGGTAATTCTTCCAATGACATAACAACATTACATCAAAATGGCTCAAAATGTGTTACGTGCTACGTGTTACGTGCAAAGATTATATTTGCTAACAATTTTCCAAAAAAATCCCAAATATTGTAATGAGATGAACAACCAGTTAAATTAGTTTATTTTTGTTTAACATGGGTTGACTAATCAGAAGAGGGAGTAATCAGGGTTTGAGCTCATAACTGAGGCTTACAGTTCAGCGCAACATTGACCAACCTGCAGGATTGCTAGGGACACAGTTCTCCTTGTGAGACATAAACCGAAGTTTCACTGGTCTGTTCTGGAGAGATGACCAATCCATATGAACAGAAAGAAGTCACTCAGCTCTTCATGCCTGTCCACTACAGTATTTAGTTAGGCCTGACCGATCCATATATCTTAATTTCAGCTACAGATCTTGTTTTTGTAATACTCAATACCCTAACAACCTTTAGGGTAGTTTCAATTGGCCTTGGCTCAGCAGCATTATTTTTGACCCAGTGGGATTGCGGGGATAATTTCTGGATTTCCACTGTGGAAAGGAGTGCTTCCCGGCATCACTCCTTAAGAGTGTTTTCTGAATTTTTTATTATGCACCCTTGTTCCAGGTCATTCCATGAGAGGAAATAGATTTTCCCTACTTAACCCATCACAACAAGCTTTTTAAACACTTCACTAAGATGACACTTTAATGTTCTATATCTAAGGGACTACAGATCTGTGCAAATTGTCCTGATAATTTATCCAATAGCCACAATACCATTTTGGTAAACCTGGAATGAACTGCCTGGAAGTGTGGTCGAGGCAGGTTCCATCAAGAAAAAAGGTGTTGGATGGTTATTTAAATAGAAAATATGTGCAAGGATATAGGAAAGAAGGCAAGAGAATGGCTCGTTTGGACAACTGATGCAGACATGGAGGACCAAATGGCCTCCTCTCAGCTATAACACTTCTGTGATTCTGTGGGCTGCATTCAATTCAAGGCCATCATATCCTCCCTTTGGAAGAGTGCTCAGAATGGATTCCAGTTGGGGATCTCAACTTATGTCTATTCTGTTGCAACATAACTTCCACCTTTTTGTATTCCCAGCCTCAAATGAGTTGTCCAGGATTCCATTCGTCTTTAATTGTTTTGTTAATCTATCATTTAGTTCTCAATGATTTCTATACTTGGACCTTTAATTCTCTCTGCTCATCCACATCCCAGCATACATTTTTGAAGAAATGCAGGTATTCTCCTGGTGTCGTAGCCAACATTCATTACTCGGCCAATACCACTGAAACAAACCAACTCACTGGTCTCATGTAACTTATAGGATGTAGCCACAGGGAAATAGCTGCAACATATACTTGAGCTGTACTTCAAAAATAATTGATCCTGTGGGTATGACATATTGTTTTGAAATCCAAGCTTTATCTACCCACTGTTATACAGAAAATAGCAAGGGAGTCACCAGTGGATAAATCGGAGGATGAAATACTGAGAGGGATATTTCATTTCAATGTAAGAAATGATACTGAAATTCAACATATAATTCTGTCCAATTGTTTACAATTATTGTCATTCCATGTTACACTGTACACATTCCTTCCTTTGAGATTATGCCCTATATATTGTGAGCGTTCACTCAAAGAAGATATGAATTCAAAATCAGATCTTCACTGTCACAGGTTTTTTACATATAATGTTTATTTATTTGAAATGTTCATCTCACCACATTGACAATAGGACATTCTCTTAAATCATATTTCAACAGTTTGATACTCCCATTTGGATTTCAATGTTTTAATCTCAGTTTTGGTCAAAATGGTAGAAAAAAATGTCAGGGACACAATGCACAAGAAAAATTATTTTCAGTGCAGCTGAGAAAAGACATTTTTTTCCATGGCAATGCCACAATCAATGCCCAACTGCCAAACAATTAGCACTCACATGTAGTTTACATGTTGGTCTTCCTCCTGAATTTGTATTCTTGCGAGGTATCCTGATCATTGCAAGATGAAAAACCATTTGTGGAGCCTTGCAGTACGCAATTTGATGCTGTGTTTGCCTAATTATTAACAGTGATTACACTTCAAAAGTATTTAATTAAATAGAAAAGCAAAACCAGACCGGTTGTATGATGACCAGCTGTTTTCTTCCTATCATGTCCTAAACAGATTTTCATAATATTTGAGGCCAAAGGAGAGGCTGTCAACCTAGAAATGAGGATTAATATAGAATAAAAGTACTTGAATTCAGCAAAGCCCTACCTCGATGCAGATTTTCTTCGATCAGTTTGGTCTGATGGTGGAATATTTCCTCCTGAAGTCTACAAACCGATTGTTTCATTTTCTCTCTCCGCGTTACCATGTAGCACAAATTCCTGACCTGTTAAAACAAGAACATTATTGTCCTTTTGAATACTTTACATGGGAACATATCAAGATACAATCAACTCACAGTGTGCAATAATCAGCTTTCTATGGGATGGCCAACTTGGTTCCACATGAATAAGCAAACAACAGACCACCAACCATCCCGCCACCAAGCCAAAAAGGCCTGCAAAATTGAACAACTGGTCACGGAGTGATACAGCGAATCTTTCTGAAATGGTTCAGACAGTTACATCACATGAAAACTCCTACAGTCTGATTTTATGTCCTAAGTAAATACATGATACTGACGTGACAGATTTGTTACTGTGTCAGTTGCTAGAATAGGAGCGTTCATACAGGCAGGTATAGGGAAAACAATTATCATAATCAAGATCAATGGATTGAAAAGTGAGATCTTCTAAAATAACCATTACAATCATGGCCCTCATTAACAGAACTTTTTCTTGTTTCACAGAACTGCTGGGTGGAAGGGAGTCTATTTTTCAATTCTCATTTGCTGATGAATTCTGTATTCATTAAGTGGAGGAATGACGCTTCTCCATCTTGGGCATGTAGTGGCAACTTCTGGAACATCTAGATCAACAATTTGGGCAAAGAAGTGGTAGATGGAGTAAAACGTGGGAAAGTGTGAGGTCATGCACTTTGGTAAGAAGAATAAAAGCATGGGCTATTTTCTAAATGGGGAGAAAATTCAGAAGTCTGAAGTGCAAAGAGACTTGGGAGTTCTAGTCCAGGATTCTCTCAAGGTAAACTTGCAGGTTGAGTCAGTAGTCAGGAAGGCAAATGCAATGTTGGCATTTATTTTGAGAGGACTTGAATATAAAAGCAGGGATGTACTACTGAGGCTTTACAAGGCTCTGGTCAGGCCACATTTGGAGTATTGTGTGCAGTTTCAGGCCCCAAATCTCAGGAAGGATTTACTGGCCCTGGAGTGGGTTCAGAGGAGCTTCACGAGAATGGTCTCAGGAATGAAAAGCTTAACATATGAGGAACGTTTGAGGACTCTGGGACTATACGCATTGGAGTTTAGAAGGATGAGGGGGGATCTAATTGTAACTTACAGAATACTGAATGGCCTGGATAGCGTGGATGTTGGGAAGATGCTTCCATTGGTAGGAGAGACTAGGACCCGAGGGCACAGCCTTAGAGTGACAGGAAGACCTTTTAGAATGGAGATAAGGAGAAACTTCTTCAGCCAGAGAGTGGTGAATCTATGGAATTCACTGCCACAGAAGGCTGTCGGGGCCAGGTCATTGAGTACATTTAAGACTGAGATAGGTAGGCTCTTGATTATCAAGGGGATCAAGGGTTAGGGGGAGAAAGCAGGAGGAAGAGGTTGAGGAACTTATAAGCCATGTTTGAATGGCAGAGCAGACTCAATAGGCCAAATGGCCTAATTTCTGCTCCTATGTCTTATGAGCTATACCACAAATTAAATGAACAGTAACATTCTCTTAATGTCCCATCAAATTGTCAAAATGACAGATGTAGTAGGACCTTCAAACAACTTGTCCCAAATATAACAGAACTACCAGTCAGATTGGCTTGAGAGTTTTTATTCATTCATAGGAGTGTGAGCAGGGCTGGCAAGGTCAAAGCTTGTTGCTCATCATTTGAGAAGGTGGAAGTGGGCCGCCTCTTGATTCACTGCAGTTGGGCTGCAGTTATTATTCATTCACAAAACGTGGGCATCATTTATTGCCCATCCCTAACTACCCAGAGGACAGTTAAGAACCAACCACCTTGTCACATGTAGGCCAGACCAGGTAAGGATAACAGTTCCCCTCCCTAAATGATATTAGTGAACCAGGTGGGCTTTTCTGACAATCAACAATGGATTCATGGTCATCATTAGACTCTTAATTCCAGATTTTTATTGAATTCAATTTCTACCATCTTCTACAGTGAGATTTGAACCCAGGTCTCCAGAACATTACTTGGATCTCTGGATTAACAGTCCAGTGTTAATACCACCAGGCCACTGCCTCCCTATCAATACAACTACAGTGCTACTGAATAGGGAGTTGTACACAACACTGGCCAGTGGTGACGAAGGAATGATATGGTCTTTCCAACAGAAGAAAATCTGTAAGTTGGGAAGGGAAGTTGCAGACAGGGGTGTTCTCATACACCTACCCATCTTGTCCTTCTCGGTGGCTGAGGGCTTGGAAGGTGCTGCTGAAGAAGCTTTGATGACTTGTGTCTTTTAGATGGGACACAAGTCAGCAACAATGATGGAGCAACAAACGGTGCGTATCAAATGGGCAGGCTGCTTTGTCCTGGACGGCATGACAAATATTTTTGGAGTTGTACTTAACCAGGCATGTGGACAGTATTTTATCGCACTCCTAATTTGTGCTTGATAGATGAAAGCTGCCTTTGGTGAATCAGGAAATGAGTACCACGCTGCAGAACATCCAGCCTCCAATTTGCTCTGGCAGCCAAAATATCATGTAGTTGGTCCAGTTTGATTTTTGGTTAATGGTAACCTCCAGGAATATGATGTCAGGAATTTGGTAATGATAATGCCATGGAATGTCCAAAGAGTGTGCTCAGACTCCCTGGTCACTGCCTGGCATTTGGGTGACAGGAATATTATTTGCTACTTATCATCACAAGCTGTGGCTGACCTTGCCTAAGTTTTCCATCTTCATTATCTCAGGAATTGCAAATAGAATTGAGCTCTGTGCAATCATTAGTGATCATTCCTATTTTTCAGCTTATTACAGAGGTAAGGCCATTTATAAAACAGCTGAAAATAATTGTGCTCATGATACCATCCTGAGAAACAAGGGCCCTCTTGTGCCACAGTGGTAGTGTCCCTATCCCTGGTTCAAGTCCCACTGACTCGAGGTGTGTAATAACATCCCTGAACAGGCTGATTGGAAAAGATCTATTTTGAGGAATTCTGTGACATCTTGATGCATAAAATAAAGAAATGGCATCAGTAATAACTAAAGATCAGTCATATTGACCAAGTAAAATGAATTATACATTCAATGTAATGTACTTTCTCCTACTTCAATGAGAAAAAGTCAAGATGTTTTATACTGTCATGCTTGAATACAATATCCTCCATCAGCTCCTGAGCTTGAGCAAGCCATGGACTAGTCAGGGAATATCTCTAATACAATCAGGTTGCATTCAGGAATGGTTTATTGTTGACACTCAAATAATATATTGGATCCCTGTAAACCAGAAGGAAGCACCAAAGCAGACAATACAGGTACATTTCACTTTGGCTGCCAATCGAGTTGTCCTACACTCCACTTCATATTGGTTCTATTGAGATCAATACAAAGGTGAGTTTGGCTGGGGGAATAATGAACACTTTAGCCACAATTGCCAATCTTCTATTCACACCTGAAGTGAAAATTACTTGCAACATGCCCATTAGGCAGGAGAATCTGCTTTCTTGATAAATAGCATCACCACCAGAGATCAGCTGGAGGCACGGGCAGGAAATTGGCAAACGGAGTTTAATGCAGACAAATGTGAGATGATGCATTTTGGAATGTCAAGTACAGGTGGAAATTATACAATGAATGGTAGAACCGTCACGAGTATTGATATGCAGAGGGATCTGGGTGTGCAGGCCCACAGATCACTGAAGGTGGCAGTGCAGATGATATGGTAGTAAGAAGGGCCTTTGGCATGTTTGCCTTTGTTGTAAGGGACATTGAATATAAGGATAGACAAGTTGTGCTGCAGCTTTATAGAACTTTAGTTAGGCCACACTTAGAATATTGTGTCCCTCTGGTCGGCACACTACTAGAAGGATGAGGATGCTTTGGAGACGGTACAGAAAAACTTTACTGGCAGGTTGCCTGGTATGGGTTATTTTAGCTAAGAAGAAAGGTTAGATAGACTGGGTTTGTTTTCACCGGAACACAGGAGGTTGAGGGGCGACCTAATAGAAGTTTAAAAGATTGTGAACGGCATAGATAGCGTGAAAAGTATAAGGTTTTTTTCCCAGGGTGGAGGGGTCAATTACTCGGGGACACAGGTTCGAGGTGCAAGGATGGGGAAGTTTAAAAGAGATGTGCGAGGCAAGCTTTTCACACAACGTGGTGCCAGACGTGGTGATTGAAGCAAACACAATAGCAGCATTCAAGAAGTACCTGGACAAATACATGAATAGGAAAGGAATAGAGGGATACGGATCCTGTAAGTGAAGACTGTTTTAGCATGGATAGGCAAAATGGCATGGCACAGTCTGTCGGCAGTGGGGGGGGTGGGGTGGAGTTCTGAGGAAGGGTCACCGGACCCAAAACATTAACTCTTTTATCCTTCACACATGCTGCCAGACCTGCTGAGCTTTTCCAACAACTTTCTTTTTGTTTCAGAAGTGGGGATGTTCGCTAGTTCAACACTACTCATGACTGCTCAGACACCGAAGCAGTCTATGTCCAAATTTCCATGCGCAACAAGAGAGAATCTAACCATTGCTCCTTTATATTTAATGGCACCACCATCACGAGATACTGCACGATCAACATTCTGGAGGTTTCGAACGATCAGAAACTGAACTGAACGAGTTATGTAAGTACTGTGGCCAAAAGTGCAGACCAGGGTCAAAATCCTGGACTTAGCTACACCAAATGGATTGCAGTGTTTCAAGAAGGCAGCTCACCATCACCTTCTGAAGGGCTGTTAGGTGTGGCAATAAATGCTGGCCCAGCCAGCAATGCCCACATCTAATGAGTCAGTGTTAAAAAGATTTGAGCCACCACAGGCCTCTGGAGCAGAGAAGTCCAAAGACTTGCTACTCTGGGAGTGAAGAAATTCCTTCTGATCTCAGTCCTAAATACATTCCTTATTTTGACACTACGCCTCCTGGTTCCAGACATCCTTTCCACATCCATTCTTCAGATGGGATTTTACTGGAAACACTAAGAATTTTATGTATTTGAATGACGTCACCTTTCATCTCCTAAACCCCAAAAGAATATTGGGGAGAACAGGGGAGGTGATGGCCCAGTGGTAATCCAG